CTAAAAGACAATTGACATTTGAAGAAAAATTATGGCAGTCTGTTCATCCCATATGTATAAGTAAAATTTATGACAGCTCAAAGAAAAGGACAAAATGAGAATATTCTAGCACTACACTGAAGTAACACAATTTCTGATGACAGACTAATTACAGTTGTGTGCCATCATCCCAAACACAACCAATTTTTATTTTTAAAAATTGTATTTCTAAAGTGGCATGAATAATAACAAGCAAATACTAGAGATAAAATGAAATCATAAAAAATGCTCACTGCCAAAAAAAAAGCAAAAAGAGACAGATATGATAACAAAGGGACATACTTTTTAGCTGTGGATAATCTAAACACTTAAAATTAACTAACTGATGTACAGTAATCAATGGCCTAATCTTAAAAGTTAAAGACAGTAGTTGTTTGGATAGAAAAATCAAGACCCAGGGGAGCTCCTGGCTGGCTCAGCCAGTTGAACATGTGACTCATGATTTCAGGACCATGAGTTCAAGACCCACGTTGGGTGTGGAGCCTACTTAAAAATAAAATTTAAAAATTATAAAAAGAGAAAAAAAGAAAAATCAAGACCCAATTACATAAGGTATAAACATAAGATAAAAATAATGACGAAATTAACATGGCAAAAACTCTAGTCTCTAAAATTTTCTACTTAAAAGTTTGATTTTCTTACAGCAATAGTGCAAATAAGAGAACATAAAAAATATGCATTTTTGTTCATCTTTCATACATTTTTAAAGAAGATATATACATATAGATATATCTCCTAAATTTTCTTTTTTTTAGATGCTTATTTATTTTTGAGAGAGAGAGAGAGAGAGAGAGAGAGCAAGCGGGGGAAGGGCAGAGAGAGAAGGAGACACAGAATCTGAAGCAGGTTGCAGGCTCTGAGCTGTCAGCACAGAGCCTGATGCGGGGCTTGAACCTATGAACTGTGAGATCATGACCTGAGCCAAAGTGGGATGCTTAACCGACTGAGCCACCCAGGTGCCCCAGTATAGGTATATCTTCTAAATATATCCTGTATATATCTATATAGCTCCTGTAAGTTTTTCATGATTTGATCTGAATCTCAGGTGTAGGTGAGCATCTGTGAAGAATTTGTACATAATTGTTGAGTGTGTATGTTCCTTTGCAAAAACTGCCCACTCACTCTCTGCATAAAATGGACCATTATTGCCGGTTATTTTTACTCTGTGACTGTATTAGTCTTTGTTCACAGCTCATTGGAGCCACTGTGCATAACTACCAGGGAAACCAATACAGAGAGTACATTGCACCAAACAAAATCTATCTCCAGGGAATTTGTAAGTTGACAAGAAGATGGGCTCACAGCCATAACTTGTAAACTGATGTAGACTCTAGAGCTTTAGGCAAAAATGATAAGTCATGTACAGAGGGAGAAAGGGAAGCAGTCCGTGTATAGCAAGAGAAGAAGAAATATAATGCATGGAGAGAAAAGGAAATGAGTGTTCATAAAGCTAGATATGTAAAGACTACTTTATTGGGTTTCTGATGACTTTTTGGCTCTTGTTCTAATAGCCAAAGAAAACCATTTGTTCTTGCATCTCACTGTTTCCATGCAGTATTCATGTACTCTTCAAGTAAATCTTTTTCCTTTTTCATGTAATTTGTTTTGGAAATTTCACTCCATGAAATTAAATTACTCTAATTTTTAATCAGTAATACTATTACTAATTAAGATACTGGCAGCCACCATTTCTGACATAGAATAGATTAATTCCTGCTGTATTATAGCCATCAGTAGAAAACACGTATATTATTTTGTAATGATATACTTAGAAATTTATTGTGTTTATTGCTCTGTAACTATTAATGGGTCATTTTGTTATATATATGTTCTTGAATGCATACAGTACAGTGATAATATCATGAATAATGTGTTATCAGACATAATGGCCCCCAAAAGATGTCCACATGTGAATCCCTGGACACATGAATATGTTAATTTAGATGGCAGAAGGGATTTTGCAGATGTTATTAAATTAGTGTCTTGAGATGGGGGGTTATCCTGGATAATTTGGGAGAGCTGATAAAAATCATCATGGTCCTTATAAATTAAAAAAGGGAGGCAGAAAGTTCAGAATCAAAGAGATTTTTGAAGATACTGCACTACCGGCTTTGAAGATGAAGGAAGAGTCCATGAGCGGAAGAATGAGGGCAGCTTCTAGAAGCTGCAAAAGACAAGAGAACTAATTCTCTCCTGGAGCCTCCAGAAGAAACTAGTCTTATTGGTAATTTGTTTATCAAATCTGTATTCTATACCATAGTTACTGGGTTATAGGTATTATACTGGATACTCATTGTCTTTTGTTTATTAAACCAGCCAATTTTTATAACCCAAATCTGTGTACTCTTCAATTATTTCCATTTTTCCCCATCATTTTCATTTTTTCAGTAAGTATATTGAGGTACAGGGGAATTTGATAAATTGTTTACGATTGACCAGCTGACATTGGTTAGAAAATGGCAGAGCTTAGATGTAAACTCAGATCTTTCTGATATCAGTGCCTGTGTTATTTTACCATACTATCTACCTTTTGGCTCAATTTATTCATTTTTTTTCCAAATAGTTTGGAAAACTGTGGTTGGGAGCCTCTGTAAAACCTGTCAGCAAACTTCATACAAGCTGTGGAAGGAAAGTTACCAAGGGGGCAAGCAGGAGGGAGGACTGCCTTCCTGTCAGTGCACATTGTCTCTTCTTAAAGGAAAGAAATTTTGCCCCCTGTGATCCTGATGTACTCCATAATAAGTATGAGCTAAAAAGAAAGAAAGAAAGAAAGAAAGAAAGAAAGAAAGAAAGAAATGTTCAGAACATAATTTTTCTAACTTTCAGAGAACTCCAAAGACACGATGGATCAAATGATACATCCTAAACTAACAGTTCATTTTTAAATGTTTTAGAAATCCATAGTCATCATCCAAATTTTATTGTAAATCTTCTGCCTCTTGACTATTGATCATAAAAATATATTCCTCCAAATTCCATAAAATTAATTTGGATTGAATAAAATCCAAAATTCTAATCAGGTTTTATGAACTTTATTAATTTATCAGCATTTGTCAGTTATTCAACTGAATCTACATTAAAAAGTAAACATTTTCATTATTGATACTAATTTAAATTAAGCAAATTAATGGCAATATATTAACTCAAACTTTAAGATATAGACAATGACAAAATTATGCAAACATGCAAGGACTAATCTTGAGAATACTGTTCCTCGAGAAATTATCATCGTGGATTTTTATTTTATACACATTTCCAGAAGCATTTAATTGAAAGAATGAAGAATGAATTCCAAAATCTCTAGAAACAGTTTCCTTGCAACTGTTGACTTCATTAAAGTTTTCCATAAAACAAAAGATAATGTACCTAGAAAATAGTAAAGATATTTAGGAGTTTTAGGTAAAATTTAATTTTAATCCCAAATGTTGAAATTATCTAAAACAAAATTCAATTAGTATGAAAGTAGCATGTTTTCATATGCATTTTTAAATAAAACAATATTTTGATTTTTAAAATTATGTTATGCCCTCATATTCAAACATCTAAGATACACAAGTAACTAAAGAGAACAATGGATACAGCAACGATTAAAGAAATGAAAATCCATAAAAAATCAGACTCTTGAAAATTAGTAAATTTGCTAATATTCATTTTCAGTGCCTATGCAGAAACATGAATTCTAAAAAACAATTTGTGTTGTTTCTGTTTTTGTTTTGACAAGAATGTAATCTATACTATACTTTTTAATTGCCACTTGGCAATACCTGATCCATGAATTCATTTCTAGTAATTTAATCTGTCACTATCCCAACAAATTAAGCTAATAATAGTACACACTCAATGCTGCTTTTACATTACCTAAAACTAAAAAGAATATAAATCCATTCAATGAAAAGTTATATATTACTTACAGAATAATGTGTCAATATTTGCTGACTTGCTAATTTCTCAAGTGTATATGGCTAGTGAGAAATTAGGAGGACAGAACTGTGCCATACATATAACCTCTTTTAAGCAAACAGCACAGTTTTTAG